CCCCCCATGAACTATCCTTGCATACTTGGTATAAATCTCACTAGGCCATTTTTTAAATTTTTTTGTTATGATATTTTAATGTTTTGGCTCAGAGTTTGTTGAACATCCATGTTCTATATCTGTGTTTATGAAGGGTATTGGTCTATAATTTTCTTTTTTAGAAGTGTCATTGTCTGACTTTGGTAAAAGAGTGATATTTGCTTCAGAGAGTGAATTTGAGAGTAGTGTGGTATTTTCTATATTCTGAAATAGTTTGAGTGGAATTACTGTTAGCTCATCCAGAAGAGTGTTTGGGTTGAGGTACCCCTTTAGGGCAGAGTTTCTGTTCATCTGCGAGGTGGCTGAGATCCTCAGATCTGTGTCAGGAGATAAATGGTACTTCTTCTGGTGTAGGGGCAGGACATTCAGTCTGGAATAGAGTTACTGCTGGCTTCTGATGCACTTGGTTATCCTGTCTTCTCAGTGATGATGTTATTGCCAATCTACAGGATGGATGCAGGTAGTACAAGCAGTCAGTAAAAGGCACACTCTGCTGGCATGAAGAAATAGGGAGGATGGCACCCTCCCAAGCTCCAAGGATGAGTGGATTCAATGGGAATCCACAGGTACTCATTGAGAGGCAGAGACTCTGTTCAGATTTTATTATTTCCACCATGGACTGGCTGCAGACCAACATGACGCAATCCAAGGCAACCTGGAGGCAGAGAGTGAGTTTCTGAATATGGTGATGTGAATGTACTCTTGGTGCCAGATGCAAAGTGATGAGTCTTAGAGCTGGGACTCTGCTTAGGGAACACAGCTAGCCACTTGGTCAGTGGTCATGGTAGAGGAATGTTTAGACTCCTGGTATGGTAGGGGGAACAAGGAATAGATAACATCTTTCTTGTCATCAGCCAGCTGCTGATGTGGGCACTGGCATAGTCCTGGGTTTATATGCCAACCAGAAACCTGCTTACAAACATTTAAAATGGCCATACTTGGCTGTCTCCTTATTTGAACTTCTATTCAGTTTCTTCCTTCAGTAGGCATTTGAACTACTTTGTCTTTTTCCATTGGTACCCAGTGTTCCAGGATTCTCCTCTGTATCTGTTATCTTTGTTTCCTGGTATTTGACTTGAAGAGAGTCTGGGCTGTCATCTGCCCAGTCTGCTATCCTACCTAGAAGATTTATTACTCATAAGTGATTTTCATTATTTTATGAGCCAACCTATTATTTAGCTAAAAGTTGATTCCCAGGTGTACTTTCAGATTAAGATATAGAATATGTTTCAAGGTCTTAAATCTGCTAGTCTCAACTGATCTAATACATCTGGACTTTTAAAGAATTTTACTTCCGTTACACATTTTTCTCCCTTTTTTACTGTCTTCTTATGGTTTCATTAAAACTTTATTGACCTTTCTATGAAGATGGCATTGAAAGCAAAGGAAGCTCCTGCC